GGTTCTAGTCCCGGTCGGGGCGCCGGATTCTGTCCCGGTTGCTCCTCTTCCAGTCCAGCTCTCTGCTGTGGCCAGGGAGTGCAGTGGAGGATGGCCCAAGTGCTTGGGCCCTGCACCCCATGGGAGACCAGGATAAGTACCTGGCTCCTGCCATTGGATCAGCGTGGTGCACCAGGGAGCAGTGCGGGAGCCATGGTGGCCATTGGAGGGTGAACCAACGGTAAAGGAAGACCTTTCTCTCTGTCTCTCTCTCTCACTGTCCATTCTGCCTGTCAAAAAAAAAAAAAAAAAAAAAGAAAAGAAAAAAAAAGAAATGAAAGCATAAATGCATGCAAATATTTGTATATGAATGCTCAGAGGAGCATTATTTATAATAGTTAAAACCTGGAAGTAATCCAATTGCCCATTAACAGGTAAACAGATAAACAAATTATGGTTCACCCATGTGCTAGAACTGTTACCCCAAATGCTACAAAATCCAAAAATTTTTGGTTGTTGACATGATGCCTCAAGTGGACAATTCCACATCTGGTCTCACATGATGAGTCACAGTCACCACACAAGTACACTAAAAATATAGTATAAAATCATCTTTGGGGTGGGAGCTGTAGAATAGAAGGTTAACCCTCTACTGTGCTGCTAGCATTCCATAAGGGTACCAGTTCAAGTCCCAGCTGCTCCACTCCCTATCTAGCTCCCTGCTAATGGTCTTGGAAAGCAGAGGAGGATAGCCCAAGGACTTGAAACCCTGCATTCATGTGGAAAACTTAGAAGAAGCTTGTGACTTAGGCCTGGCCCAACTCCGACCATTGTGGCCATTTGGAGAGTGAACCAGTGGATAGAAGAATGATCTCTCTCTCTCTCTCTGAATCTCTGCCTCCCAAATAAATAAATCTTTTTTAAAAACCACCTTCAGCCTATAAGGTATTCATGTAACATAAACAGATACTATGTTTAGACCTGCGTCCCTTCCCCAAGAAATCTCATTATGCACAAGCAAATATTCCAAAATCCAACAAATTATTTTTTCTAACTTTCATTTAATAAATTTCCAAAGTACAGCTTTTGGATTATAGCAGCTTCCCCTCCTCCATAAGCTCCCTCCCACCCGCAACCATCCCATCTCCCACTCCCTCTCACATCCCATTCTTCATCAAGATTCATTTTCAATTATCTTTATATACAGAAGATCAACTTAATATTTACTAAGTAAAGATTTCAACAGTTTGCACCCACACAGATACACAAAGCATAGAGTACTGTTTTAGTAGCAGTTTTACCGTCAATTCACATAGTACAACACATTAAGGACAGAGATCCTACATGGGGAGTAGTTGCACAGTGACTCCCATTGTTGATTTAACAACTGACACTCTTATTTTTGATGTCAGTAATCACCTGAGGCCCCAGTCATGAGTTGCCAAGGCTATGGAAGCCTCTTGAGTTCACCAACTTATTATTTAATCTTATTTAGGCAAGGCCATAGTCCAAGTGGAAGTTCTCTCCTCCCTTCAGAGAAAGGTACCTCCTTTGATGGCCTATTCTTCCACTGGGATCTCACTCGCAGAGATCTTTCATTTAGGTCATTTTTTTTCCACAGTGTCTTGGCTTTCCATGCCTGAAATACTCTCATGGGCTTTTTAGCCAGACCCGAATGTCTTAGAGGCTGATTCTGAGGCCAGAGTGCTATTTAGGACATCTGCCATTCTATGAGTCTGCTGTGTATCCCGCTTCCCATGTTGGATTGTTCTCTCCTTTTAATTCTATCATTTAGTATTAGCAAACGCTAGTTTCATTTATGTGATCCCTTTGACACTCAATCCTATCATTATGATCAATTATGAACTGAAACTGATCACTTTGATTAGTGAGATGGCATTAGTACATGCCACCTTGATGGGATTGAATTGGAATCCCCTGGCACATTTCTAACTCTACCATTAGGGCTAAGTCCGTGTGAGCATGTGCTGAACTGTGCATCTCCTACCTCTGTTATTCGTGAAGCATTCCAAAAATTCTAAATACTGTTGGTCTGAAACATTTCAGACAGTGGCCATTCAACCTGTACTACTCAGCAATGAAAAAAACTACAGGTACAAAAGCCTACATAAATGAATCCCAACATAACTATATCAGATGAACAAATTCAAACAAAAAATATAAAGTATGATTTCATTTATATAAATTCTTGGAAATGAGAATAAATCTACAGTGACAAAAAACAGACCAATGTTTGCCTAGGAATGGGAAGGGAATGAAGTGGTCTGAAAGGGACATGAGGAAACTATGGGGGTTGATGAGTATATTCATTACCTTGATTGCAGAGATGGTTTCACAATTATATAATATCAAAACTGATAGGTTTATATACTTTAAATACCAGTATGTGCAGTTCCTTATATGACAATTATACCTCAATGAAGCTGTTTAAAAAGTTCTATCTTCTTAGCTGTGTCAGCCATATTTTAAGATCCCAACAGCCACACAACCTACTGAATAGGACAATGTAGACAAAGAAATTTCCATTCTTGTACAAAGTCCACTCAACAGCACTGCTACAGACCAGGGCTCAGGAAAGTACACAGCAGGGACCCTTTGCCTATTTGTCAAAATGAGGTTTAATTAAAACAAACATATGCCCATCATTTGCATATTGTCTAAACCTACTTTAGTGCTACAACAGCACAGTTGACTAGCTATGACAGAGAACACATGACCTGACTAGTTGGTTTTTTAAGAAACGGTTTGTTCACCCTATTCTAAACCTTAAGTTCTATGTACAGGGACCCTGCCTGTCTTGTTCACTACCGCACATAACCCAGCTAATATATATGGAACACCTAATATGTAGCAAACACTATTCCCAGGCACTAAGGAAACAGTCTTGAACAACACAGATAAGGTCTTTACTCTCATGGTTGTCACCCTATTGTGAGGGACATGGTTAACAAGACAACAGAAAAAGAAAATGTCAGGCAATGTATAATGCTAAGATGACAACAAAACAAAAGGTACAGAGCATGAATAAGGACTTCCCCTTAGGAAGTCAGGACATGACTGTGGGAGGGCTTAACATCTGAACAAGTCAACACTAGTAAGATCCGGAGAAGTAGAGGGAGCTGGGGCTGGCACCGAGTAGCAGCAGGTTAAGATGCCACTTGTGACACAAGCATCCCATTATCAGAGCGCCCGTTTGAGTCTTGGTTGCTCCATTTCAGATCCAGCTCCCCGCTAATGGGCCTGAGAAAGCAGTGGATGGTGATGGCCTAAATATCTGGGTCCCCATCACCTATGTGGGAGACCTGGATAATTTCTAGCTCCTGGCTTTGGCCTGACCCAGCCCTGACTATTGTGGCCATTTGGGAAGTGAACCAGTGTAGTACAGAAGCACTCTATAGCTCTCTCTCTCTCTCCCCGTCCCTCTTCTCCCTCCCTGTTGCTCTCTGTTGCTGCCTTTCAAATAAATAAACATAAATAAATCTTTTAACAAAATAAGCAGTAGAGGGAGTAACAGCACCAAAACTTCAACAGGAATGAATGCGATGACTGCTGTATGAAAAACAAGGCCCATGAGGTTGGAGAACACACAAACAAGGTGTGCGGAGGGAGAGATAGATGCAGAAGTAGACAGAATCAAAGAAAGGGGTCCAAATCATACTATACATGTGATCAAAATCCACTACAGGATTTTAAGCAGATGAGCAACATGATCAATTTACATCTTGAGAGATCATTTTGGTGCTGTTAAGTGGAGACTGGGATATGGAGAGGAATAAAAGATATTAGACAAGAAGTTTCTGCAAAGGTACAAGTGAGAGAAGGCACTGGCTTGTCTAGGACTACAGCAGTGGAGGTGAAGCAGAGAAATTCAAGACAGCCAAGATGCATTTCAAGTGACAGCTTTTCTTACAGACTGGTCATTGCAGAGTGAGGAAATGAGAAGTTGAAAATGAATCCTAGGTTTTTGGCATTAACAATAATTATGGAGAAAACTGCAAACAGCAGTAACATTTATTGAGTGTCTACTATATGTCAGCAGACAATTTCACATTTAATTTTCCCAACAACCTTGGGAAGATGAGTATTGGTCTGGCAATGTATCAACCCATTACATTTTATAATGAGGGATGGCATCTCAGAGACAGTGGCCATACTAATAAAGAACCTGGCAAAAGGGCCAAGCAACCCTTCAGTTATTGGACAGGTACTACTTGATAAATGATGAAGCTACTCTTTAACGCTTTCTCCTTTTGCCAGCTTATTTAGTTAGCCTCAGTTAAAAGAAAAAAAATGTTCAGAAAAAACAAATCTTTAATTTTTTCCAATTCCTCAATGTTACAAAAATTAAAAAAAAAAACTATTTTAAATTCTATGTCAATTATCTTCTTAAATGGACCACTAGCCTGGTAAATCCACGTTTTATCTGCCAAGCCTCCACCACACACACACACACACACACACACTCCCTTCATCTCAGAAAGGGAAAAGCGACAAGGACAAACCGCTCGCCTCAATCCATCAATGGCTGAGCCGGCACTACAGCCCATACATCATCTAAGTTCACGGACACCCTGAGCTGTCTTTGCGACACCGTCAAGGTCCTTGGGAGCTCACGTACACTGCCATACTCGGCCCACGATCTCACCTCTTTTCAGCTGGCCTCTAGCCAACCAGTGATGCTAGTGGGCAAGATTTATCAAGACAAGCAGGGAGCCTGGTAACCCCTTGAGTCTCTAACCATAGGCAATGTCTTAAGCTGTTTCTGAGGATTCCTGGAAGCTGAGAAGGCACCACCATGACTAGGAACAAAAATGGCCAAATATCGGAAGGTCTTGTGCTCACTAGAGGAAGAAGGGAGGCAGACACGACTAAGACAAGGCTAGAAACACCCAAACCAATCCCTTAGAGTCTCCAACAGCCGAGGCCGGCAGCCCGCAGCCCACGTGCACTTGCTCAGGGAACCGTTCCAAAGCAATCTGACCACGGTCGGAATCCTCCCGCCGCGCCGTGGCCGTGTTTATCGCAACGAACGCTACAAGTTGCTGCCCGCATCCCTCCTCCAGCCTTGACAGGGAACACGCGCGCCGCCCCCGCGTCCACACCGACTCTCGCATCCCTCTCCAGCTTGGCCCGAGTCCCCAGGGCGAAGGCCCCCCGAGACCCCCTCCACCACAGCCCATCGCCCCCAACCCAGCCTGGTTCTAGGCCGCGGCGACCCCTTAGGGGCGACTGTTGGCTCCTCCAAGTCTGACCACCGCCTCAGAGTCCCGGAACCGAGCCAGCACCGTCCGCCGGGACGCGGGGACACCCCTCGGGGGCCCCGAATCACTGCGGAGCAGCCGCGCCTCCGCCGCCAGGTGAGGGGGCTGAGCCCGGCCGCTTACCTTACCCAGCCGCGCTCGGGCGGACGGCGCCGGCCGTGAGGACTTCGGGGCTGACCCGGCCGAGGGCCAGAGCGCGCCAGGCCAGCTCCAAGCACCCGGGGACCGAGCACCCGGAGACACCGGGCGAAAGCGAGCCCCCCAATCGAGGCCCGCGCGCCCCGAAGGAGGGAGGAGCCGGACTGCCGCTCTGGCGGCGGATGGAGACGGGGAGGGAGGCTGCGGTGTCCGCTCGCCACGGATTAAGACGCTAGATACGAAGAACCTGGGGGGCTCCAGGGGTGACCCGGCCGGCGGCGGCGGCGGCGCGCCCCGTCGTGAGGGGCGGGGGAAGGTAGGAATGTCCTGGGACGAACGCCGGGGGCCGCGAGCCGTGGGCGTTAAATCCCCGCGGGTCCGGCTCCTGCGCCGCGGTGGCGGGCGCGGAGGGCGCGCGCTGGGGTGGGGGCTGCGGCGGTGGCGGCGGCGAGCGCGGGGCCTCAGCTCAACGTCCTCACCTTCTTCGTGCCGGAGCCTCCTCCGGCGAGCCGGGATACTCCCGTCAGGGAAGAGGAGCGCCCCGGCTGCCCACCTAGAGTCTCCTGCTGGGGAGACATCGCTTCCATGAAGAAAATCTTCCAACGGATCCCAGCCCAGGAGGAGGCTACGCGGTCATGTCCGCGGGCCGGAGGGGCGACGACGCGCAGGCTGAGGGGCGGCCGCCGCGCTCAGGCAGGGAGCCGAGCTCCGCGTGCGGGCGGCGCGCCTCCCGTCGGGGCCATGGACCGCTGCCTGCGCTCGGCACCGCGGGCTGGAGGCGATTACAGCAGCGCCCGCCCGCCTGCCTGCCCGTCCGCCCGCCGTGCGGCCCGCCCTGCCTCGGGCCCGCCCCCTCCGCGCGGGGCGCCCCGCGCCGGGACCCGCCCCCGCCGCCCTCGGCCCTCCCCGCCGCGGTCCGGGCTTGCCGCGCGCCCGGCCGGGGCGGCCTTCTATATATGTATAGGGGCACAGGTGATCGCCTGACCTTGTGCGTCCGCCCCTCTGAGTGGGTCCAGCCGGAGGGAGCTCACCGGCCCGAGTCACGCGCGGCCTCTCCCGTCGCCCTGCCCACTCCCACCCGACCCCATCCCTTCCCGCGCCGAGCCCGCGGGGGAAGGCGCCTCTGCAGCGCGTGCTGCGGCGGCGGAGCGGTAGCGACCTCACCCCGAATGGAGGAGTTGCACCGATTGCTGCCTCGCTCTGAGCGGACTGCGGAGGGGCGCCCCCGCGCGCCTCCCACCCCACCCGCGGGCCTCGGGCACGTCGCAGGGGTGGGGGGTCCGGCTATGCACATTTGGAAGCCTCCGGCGTCGCCCGGCCTCTGGTTGCAACCCCGATCGCTAGCTCGGCTGTCTGGGTAACCCCGGCGGGCTTTGCAGCCGCCAGCGCGTCTGCACCAGCGGTTTCTGCTGTGTGCGGGCCGCAGAAACGCGGGCATTCCCATCGGGAAGGCGCAATTAAAGAAAATGCAGGCAGAGAGCGGAGGCTGAAATTTGGCTGAGCTATTGAGAAGGTTACAATATGTGGAAGTGTTTATCAGATATCTGCACTGAGAGCATAACTTCCTGTCAGCCCGAGTAGTGGCTTTTATTTATTTATTTTTTTAAGGCCAAGGAATAATCCGAGGGTGGGGATTTGGAGGCGAGCGGGGTTGCGCTGGGTGTTGCTGCACTTTGCAGGGATGGCTGACTGGCGCGGATGCTTCGGTAGATGGCATCCTATCCTTGGAGTCGGGCTGCAGAGCAGGCGGCTGTTTGGCGAGCAAGGACACAGCTCTATGATAGGAGGTTGCTGACTAGGGTAGGGGGTGGGGCTGTTTTTGTGGGTGGAAAAAAAGAGATTGAGGTTCCTGCCGGGTTGGGCTGTTCCTAGGACAGGTTGTAGAATAGGGCTCTGGAGAGCTCTGTTGCAAGGCAGGGATAATGTCCAACACACACACACACACCACCACCACCACCATCACCACCACCAAACGCTGGAGTCATGTATTGTGGATATAAGGGGGAGAATGCGTTCCAGCTCATTTTACGCCTCATCCACGTCGCTTTGTTTAGGCTTGCATAGGCTTTACATATCATACACATCTTTACACATATTAATCATTATAACTATAGATGTGTACACACAGTTTTTCACGGTGACTTTTGCAGTCGAGACCTGTGGGTGCAATGGGACTTTGCACTCACGGTAGAGTTCATCACACATTTTACACTGCACAGGGCTTTGTGGCTGCTTCCCCTCTGCCCCTGTGGCAGAAATTATCCTCCTATGACTTGTTAGCCTCTTTTAATTTCTTTCATGAATGGACACTCCCAATTTTCCTTTGTGTGCTTGGTTTTTAAATTTTGATGACATCCAAGATTTCATGTACTTGTTTTTTCAGTGCTTACTGTCTATATCTCAGAGAAAGCTAAGCTTCCAAAGGGCAGGAATCTTACTGTACCCCAATCACTTAAAGCAGTGTCTAACAGCACAAAAGAATTAACGAGCTTCACAGAGGATGTAGGATGGCTCCACAAAGCCCAGCTGGAGATGGTTTCACTCAAACGGCCCCAAATACTATCAGCTGTTTCTTTTTGTGATAAATACCTCTTGTTCCAAGTCAAAGTATTATTTTCATTACGTACGTGGAAAGCTCACTTTGATTTTTTTTAATTTGTACGCGCTTATTTTTCAAAATCTACTAGTTTTGGTTTGCATAGAAGACTGTCCTACTTCTCCACCATAAGGAGTTTTGAGGTAGGTCTCTCTTTTTAAAGACCACTGAGTTGGCTGAGATTAGTGTCACCAGAGTAAGATCTGAGGAACACAAATCTGATCACGTCACCTGCTGCTCACACCTTTCCTTGGTCCTCCTGTGTACAGGGTCAATTTTAAATGCTGTGCTGTGATGTGCAATGCCAGGCTGCTGCAAATCTGACACTTCACCCACATCGCTTTCTCGTGCTATCTCATGCTCTGCTTCAACGCTTAACCTATTTTCTGTCACATCAAACTCTGCTTCCAAGAACCCACCTTTACTTCTTACATCCTGAATAACTTTGAGCCTGATGATCTCATTACTTGAGAGTAATTCCTATAACTTTGCACTTAAATGTTTAGTACCTAATGGACAGTAAATGTCTAATGTTTTTGAGGAAATCTTCAAGACTTTAATCAACTAGAAAAATCTTCCTATTTCTCTTTACCTAGCTACCTCCAGATCCTGACCATACACACAGCACTAAGTGCTACTACCTGAAGTGGTAACATAGCATTTGAGTGCTTGCTTTATTCCAGAGACTGTTGTAAGCCATAAACATATTAACCATATTAATTCACTTGTATCTTTATAATAATAAAAGGTCAATCCCTTTATCATCCCATTTTGCAGATGGGAAAACCAAGCCTCAGAGATGCTAAATGATGTGCTCAAACAGCTGGTATGTAGTCAATCAAATGTGGAAACTGGGGAGTCTGCTCCAGAGTCTCCATTCTTCACCGCCTGGCCAACCCTCTCCTGAAAATATGTCTTTCTTTTATGACACATTTTACACTATTATTATCTTTGCACGAGTACATTCTCAATGTTTTTTTTTCAACAATTTACCTTTGAATGAAATTTTAGTAATAGAAATAGCCATCTTCATTTCCATTATATGCTGTGTGATTTATGAAAGAAGCAATCCTGGACTAATCCTTCCGGCTTTTTAGAATGTGAAACCATTTTCTGTGCACTGGGAATGTTATATAGTAGAAAAGGGTTTACGTCCAAAATGCGTGCAATAATGAGGAACTGGGAATTCCATTTGGGTGGTCACATGGGGGCCAGGGGCCCAAGCACTTGAGCCATCACCTGCTTCCTCCAGGAGGTATTAGCATCCCCAGCAGCTATGCCACATCAGCCTCCCCTCTTCACTTTTATCTTGCACACCTGTGATCTTTTCCTTTCACTTTTTTCTAAGCACACCCATGAAACACTTCTGAACGAGGTTTCCCCTAAAGAGTTTTCTTTCGCCTTCATAAATTGCTAGTGGGAATGGGAAAATGCTAGTTTGGTGGCACCTCAAAAGTTAAACAGAATTTCTATAAGACCCAGCAATTCCACTCCTAGGTAAATGTCACCCAAAATTGAAAACAGGGACTTCAACAAATGTTTGTATGCCAGTGTTCATTGAAGCATTGTTCACATTAACCAAAAAGCAAAAACAACTCAAATGTCCATCAACTGACAAAGGGAGAAGAAAAATGGATATATCAGTACAATTGAACATTATTTAGCTATTAAAGGGAATGATGTTTTGATACATGCTACAACTTGGATGACCTCTGTAAACATTATGCTAAGTGAAATAAGCCAGATAAAAAAGGACAAATAATGTATTACTCCACTAATATGAAATAGGTGAATTCACACAGTAGATTAGGGGACAGTGTTGTGGTTCAATGGGTTAAGCTGCCACTAACCATCACTTGGGTCATTAGTATTCCATATAGAATCGCTGGCTCAAGTCCCCAATGCCCCATTTATAATCCAACTCCCTGCTAATTCACTTGGAAAGGCATCAGACAATGACCCAAGTACTTGGGTCCCCACCATCCACATTGGGGACTTGGATGGAGTCCTGGGCTCCTGATTTTGGCTTGGACAAGCCCCAGCCATTGTGGCCTTCTGGGGAGTGAATCATAAGATGAAAGATTCTCTCTCTCTCTCTCTCTCTCTCTCTCTCTCTCTCTTTATCTGTGTGTGTGTGTGTGTGTGTGTGTCACTCTGCCTTTCAAATAAATAAAATCTTACAAAAAAAACCCAACCCTGAATGCTTATAATGTCAAAAGTATCACAGTATTAAATCATGCTATCATTCATTGGGAGTTAACATTGAAGAATGGGGGATACAGATTTAGATGTCAAACACTGTGCTAAGCATTTTACACACTATCATAATATTCAAAACAACCCTGTTGACTTGTATTTTTTC